TTGTGTATTTGTCTTAAACAAACCCCACTCAGATGTTGGTTTTAATGGTTATTATTATTATTATTTATTTATTTATTTTGCAAAGTTTGAAGGGAGAAAGAGTCAAAAGAAATGAGGAGAGTTTCAATTAAGAAAGACCGATATTGGTTACTGCTGAACTAATGGTAAGAAATTTCAACTTAATTCTATTTTACTATTTTCTAATGTGTTATACCCCTTTATCACCAGTTTGTGTGTTTCAAAACTGAAACGGTCTTTCCAAATTGATGATGGCAGTGCTTTAGACCCCTCTGACCATACAGGAGGAACACATATCGGAAAATGGGTAAAACATGGTCCAAATTCCCAATTTACATGATACACCTATGAATTTCACTATTATAAATAAAGTAAGCCTTCTACAAATGGGTTAAATTAAACACTTGATTTCACGGCTAAAGTCATAAGAAAAACAATTAAGTTCTAGAGGCAAGGTAAAAAGGTTCTCATCTTCTTTATTTTAATGAGGATTTATTCAAAACATTTTGTTTAGATTATGGTTATTTTTTCTATCAATAGCAACGAGCTTTGGGGGATTGAAAACTTAGTTGGAGTATACTCTAAATTTACAAACCAAAAAAATGCTTTTTTCCACTATATTATCATGAATTAAAAATGATATATTTTCGAAACAATAGATCAAATATATGAAAACACTTATCCAACATACATAAAAGCGACAAATACAAGGGACAAATACATTAAAAAAAATACACTGTGCCTCGGAAAGAAAATGAATTGTTGAACTAAAACTAATGGTTAGTGACATTGGTTAGTGTCTTATTTTTAATATAACATATCTCATAAAGCAAAATAATCGTTGAATTGAAACCAATCATTCTTCGCCGAAAAGAAACGAATTAGCAAAACTATTCACACCCGTCGCTTAGCGCGGGTAAACGGCTAGTTCTTGTTAATGCATTTTGTTTTTTATTTTTATGTTTTTATTTGTATTTTTTATTTTGGTATATTAGATTTTGATGTAATATTATTATTATTATTATTATCTTCATAATGATTATGATCATCGTCATCATCATCATCATCAAACTTTTTATCGGCTTAAGGATTTGAGGAGCAAAGTTTCTACCCCATAAAACTGGAGAATTAACAACAGTTGAGGACGCATTTAAAAGTTTTGTTCCATGGCCAAAATACAATATGAAAGCCGATTCAAAGGTTTGTTTATGTTAACTTCCTTGTGCATTATACTTTTTTTCTTCGTAAACTTGTATATTAAGTTTTTAATGAACTCATTTTTTATTTCAATGTTGCTGGTATAGGTACCAGATATTATATCACATGAAGACCATCAACTTCAAAATCAATGAAAAGGAAACCAACTTACATATCATCTCTGATACCCTTCTCAAGAAGACAAGGAGCAATACTAATAAGATGAATGTCTAGTTATGTCTAGGTTTTGGTTTGTGATGTGTTTGCTTTTTTACCATAATTTAAATACTTTCAATTAGTACAACTTTCTTTTTTTTGGTATTTTAATTAGGAATTTAATGTATGGATTTGGATTTCAATTATTACTAATATGAAATTATGAATTTTGATATTGTTTCATATTATTGGGTTTGGTTATTTTAATTTAAATTTACAATGTAGAAAAAGTAACAATAAAAATTGAATTAGTGTGGCTTTAATATAAATTTGGCCATGTTTTATACGTTTTCAATGTCTCTAAAATTATACAATGGTTACTTTACATCATTTTTTAACGTGTGGCTAAATGGTTAACAATAGCCATAATATACAAGAACTATAAGTCTACAGTTGTTTTAAGATGTTTCTAAAGTTTTTGTGACTAAGTTAAACAATAACAACATGAAAAACAATTTATATGGCAAATAAATACTATAATTGATTGTTGTTGTGACTAAATACTAGCAAATCGTCACTTACAAAATTAATTACATGTGTCTATTTAGCGAACATGATCATGTTCACCGTAATTATATGTTTCTAAAAGATACCCAATAGTCTTAATATGATACCGAATACTCATTAATTTTAACAAAATGTGTGTCTTTATAATACTTATTATTGTGTTTCACTTAATTGTGTGTCTCTATACGATAGACAATAGTCACAAAAATTAACTCTTTTTGTGACTAATTATTAGCAAATCGCCACTTATGGAATTAATTACATGTGGCCATTTAGCGAACATGGTCATGCTGACCGTAATTACATGTTTACAAAAGATACACAATAGTCTTAATAAAATTTAAACTGTGTGACAATATATTAGAAAACAACCACATTAAAACAACATGAATGTCGCAAGTTGGTGATATTTAGTCACTACGGTTACTAAATAAATGTGTCTACTGACAGTTTAACGCTACAATATTGGATAAAATGATTGATTTAAGGTACAAAATTCCGTACACATTTGCCACACTTTTATAATACGACCACATATTTTCATATCATACGGACACTACATTTTAAAGTCACCATAAGACTCATACCATGGCGTCACCTTCCGTCACACTTTTAGTGAAAAAATAAAATGTCACTGTATGCATATGATCACACTTTTTTGGTGTGTCTGTAAGTCATTTTTGTACTAGTGTCTTATAACATATTGCTTTCAACATATAAAACATACCTTAGATAAAACTATCATCAAAATTTTATTTTAAATTAATATAAGGTCAAATCCAAAATAAACACAAAAAAAAACAACAAAAAAAAAAAAAAAAAAAACATTCACCAACAAATGTTTCACAATAAAAAAGGTCAACTCTGAAACAAACACACATTGACAATATGAAAAATCGACCACAAAATGTCACACATAATTAAAAATTCTTTTTGGCATAACTGTGATGTTAGCTGCTTCCGGCATCATCGGTTCGAACATTATGTTTGTTAACTCGGTTGAAATCAAAACATTTACTGTAAATAGGATAATAATTAAAAAAAGTTTGACTTAGTTAATTTTATATTACTATAAGTATGAAACTTTTACAAATAGAAATCCAACTTACTCGTGTCAAATGAACCAACTTTAATCGAGAAGTATATATTATATACTTTCTCTCCAACGCCTAATAGATCATCACAATTTGGTGGCGTGTCTATGTAGCTTAACCTTTATTATATTCACCCTATTCATTTAAAAGTATGGTCAAATTTTGCTCAATGAATATGTGTTAGTAAAAATATATTTCACGTGTATAAGCGATAAACTTACGGTCCATCTTGGAGAAACAAAGTGAACGAAGTTAATGCCCTTGAATGGCCAAACATACGCGAGTAGTTTACTTTTCCCCCAACGATTTTTCCAACAACATCTAAAAATCATGACATGTAAAAAAACATTAACTTGTATTTTTGAAATTAGAATATGATTATAAAAAACAAATTAGTAATTTAATATACCAATCATCATTTTTCTGGATGTCCTATCCTCTTGTAGAGATCTGATGGAGGAAACCAATGGATAAACCAGAAACCATAAATTAGTAGTATCGAACCATCAATTAAATAGTGTGTTAGTGCTTTTGTGAATCATCCAATCAACACAGCTAAAATTGTATCCTTAATACCTCGGAAACTCATAGTAGGTTGGTTGAATTTGGAAATGGTTCAAAGAGAACACACCTCCCAATAGATTCTCTCCATTGAAAAAAGGCATCAATTGTGTCCATCCATGATTCTACAAAAATATTCTATTTACAATTTTATTAACTAGATATAAGTTAATGTGAAAATATTAACATTTACATAAAACTGTAAATGTTTATATGATAAAGAACATCTAAAACGATTCTTAATATCACAGCAAATTATTTTAAAAAAAATATATGATAAGAAGAACATCTAAAACGATTCTTAATATCACTGCAAATTATTTTTAAAAAAATAATGTTATTTTATTGGTGGAAAAGTAATTGTAAAAGCGGAGTGAAGACTTGATTGAAAAATAATTGTAAAACTTGGTGTAATATAATTAATAGATTTTTTATATAATGGTTCAAGAATCAAGATGGAAGTGACTAATGGGCAATGACTATTCAATACTCATCCGGATAATTCTTGTAGAAAAATAAATCCAAGAAAATAACGACATCAAACATAAATGCATGATTGCACAAATTATACAAAAATGGTCGGTTCAGTTTGGGGTCCATTGAAGTTGTTCCTTCTTCATCTTATACACAAGTATCATCATTAGGAGAAAACATGCATGTATTAATTGTTTGGTTTGCCTTTAACTATACCCTTATAACATTAAAATATTATCAATGTCATTTGAGTGGGTTTCTTGTTCAACCAAATAGTAGATTTGAATTAATTTTAAATTAGAACCTATTTCAATTATCAATGATCCATGTAATGTAAAAACCTTCTAAGGGAATGAATTACCTATGAAGTAGCAGAGCTCGTTGAAGAAGAAACTGATATAAATCATATTTTAATTTTACATATATAAAAAAGGTTATAATAGTAAAAACGAAAAAAAGTATATTCTCTTGAAGTATATACTGAAATTAATTAGTAAAAATGAAAATACACATACATAAAAAAAACAAAAAAAATATGTTGAAGTTTCTACTTTTAGAGTCATAAAAACACAAAGACACATTTATCCGTTACATTAGTAAAAATGAAAATACACATACACAAAAAAAAAACAAAAAAAATGTTGAAGTCTCTACTTTTATAGTCATAAAAACGCAAAGACACATTCACTAAAATCCACAAACACACAATATCCCAACATATACATATACAAACCATACATATATAAGATGTCACAAACAAATACATACACACATATATATACATATTATATATGTGTAATATTAGAGACAGAAGAATTTTATCATTTCAAACAACATAAGTTTATCACTTGAAACAACAGACAAAAGAAGATTAGCATTTCAAACAAAAGAAGTCTATCACTTCAAACAGATAAAGTAAAAAAGTAAAATATTATGCACACACTTCAAGTTATAACAGATAGAAGAAGTAAAAAGAGTTTGAACTCATGTCACGGAATACAATGCAATGCAATGAAGTAGTCTTCTCATTCTCGATTCCTTGTTGGTGAATTGTGCTGTAAGAATAAAAAATAAAAACATATATTTGATTTATAGGTGGAATAAACTAATATATGATGTATTTTCGATATTGATAACCATTCCAAAATTAAGCAAATTAATAACATACCATAAATACTAACATTAACAAATATAATAAAAATTTAAAAATCAATATAATAACAGTCAAAAATCATACAAAAAATATTTTAAATCATACCAAAATTAATCATATTATTATAATATTTTAATTAAGATAATATCATACTAAAAATAACACAAAAATTAGGAGCTAAAATTACTATTAAATTCTTAACGTTAATAACATTACAACTAGCAACATACTTTCCATGCATTTCTTCCTATTACAGTATTGTACTTTGAAGATTCAAAGTATAAAGTCCTTATATGGAAAAAAATCAAAGTACAATGTTGCAATCGTGTAGAGTACATTAGGAGCTGAAATGGTAGTTTTATTGTTTTAAATGAGAGTTTTTAAATTATATAAATGGGAGGTTTTTTTCTTCAAAATGAAAAAAATTTCGCCCTTTAGAATGGCAGCTTTATAAGCTTTGAAGGTTCATAGTATAATATCCTTACATCTAAGTTGGATTGGATTTTTGCATTGGCTTCTAGAGGTGAATCCGTCAGCCTTATACATGAATTGTCACCATTGGCATCACAACCTGGATTAAATTGTAGACACTTAATAAGGACATAATAGCTTAATGCGTTAAGACAAAAAAAAACATAATGTATTCAGACACCCATCCGTTACCCCAGTACTGCAATTAGAAAAAATACTAGTAACAATGGAGGGAAGGTAAATCATGAATCCTCATCCTCGTCTGAAATATCATTCATCTATATAAAATTTTATCATGGTTACAATCAACCATATTCATCCCATATTACACTTTTCCGTAAGATCAAGAAGTTATAGAAAAGTAACTGACATGTAAATCCAAATCAGACCTAAGAAAATCCCCTCTTATTTCCAAATCTTCAAGAATACTTTGTGCACATTCAGAGTTTTCTTTTTTATCCCAAGAATCATCTCTATCTGAGAATTTCTTCTACAGAGAAATCAAGAAAACATGAATAAATAACAAAAACTCAAAACTAAGATTTGAAAGAGTTACAGAATCATCCATATACAAAAACTATAAAAAAATATATTGTGGAACACAAAGAGTGGAATGCCCCAAAATGACAATCTTTATAACAAAAAAATTATGATATTTACATGTGGAATCGGATCTCGTTTTGGATACAAAACGAAAAATCCATATCTGCTTTGCTTGTCTACTTGAACCACCTCAATATTTGAAAAAATCAAGAAAATTTCTACAAAATTCGATCATGTGAAATCAGAATACCATCTGCATATCAAAAACAAAAAACAAAAAAAAAAAAACATAAATAATTAGAAAACAAAAACCACATGAACAAAGATGAAGCATATCAACACTTATTACATAGCGGGGGCAGAGCTCATCCTCACTAAGAACATCAAAGGCTTGTACAACACTGCAATTAGACAAATTCATCCACGCATCAACATTAGCAAGTAGCGAATGGAAAATGGAAAATATCTTGACAACAAACAATTACGAAAAAGAGCTTACATTTCCTCGTCATCGTCTAAAATACCGTTTTTCATTGATGATAGAAGAACGTGAGATGAATCAGTCAACGGGTTAAGGAGGGAAGGATCAGTGGTGGAGTGTTCTTGGATAACTATAATAAAGTCGAGTAACAGGATAATTTTTCTGATTTTGAACTGGGTAGTGAAAACCTCCATCGTTTCTTGTCCAAGTTTAGAGAAATTTGAGGATACGATTGCATCTTTATATTAAGGAATTATAGAGATAGAGATAGATATGGATTAAGGTGGCGTTGCGAGGCCGAGGTTTGGTGGAGACAGGTGGTGGTGCGCTGCTAGTGTGTGATGTTGTCAGAGTCACGTGGCGATAGTAGAGGCGTTGAATGGTGTGTGATGTTACCGTTGAAATAGGGTTAGGATTAGGGTTCCTGGTAGAGAAAGGAGACGTTGTAGTTTATAACAGAGGGGGCGGCGGACTCTGGTACCGATAGAGGATTTCAAAAAGCAATGGTAGTCCAGTTGAGAATGTAGAGCATCCGGTTGAGCTCATGAGGGTGAATGGGAGAAGGAACGGCGTGTAATGTGACCAACGATAGAGACGAATGAGATTTGGTTTGATGGTGGGTGTTGTGTGTAAAGGAGATTAGGATAACATCTAGATAGAAGGTAATACCGTGTAATACCGTAAGTTACATTTAGGTATCGTAAGATAAATTCATGTAAGCGCACTGTATAGATTGTAAGCTTAATATTATTGTACATTATGTGAAAATACTATACCACTTAAATTTTAAGAAATGTTGAATATACATTATAAAATAGTAAATATATATATATATATATATATATATATATATATATATATATAATATGATTTTTACTCCTTTACTTTGTAAAATGCATTTTCCAGCCTCTCTATTTTTAAATGTTATTAGAAAATAGAATGTTATTAGAAGTATGTCAATGAGTAAACTTCAACTTTAATCTATCTACTTTGTATAATCTGTCACTTGCAACCCCTTTATTTTGTAAAATGATATTTTTCTTCCCTTTACTTTTTGAAATATCATTTACTTTGTAAAATATTACTTTTTTACCCTTTCCTTTTCTAGACTATGTTGAGTTTTAGTATACTACAACATCCTATGGTGCACATACAACCCTAAAAGCTTTTGATCTATGTTTTCTCTAATTATACATGCATGTGGTTTCCAAAGCTTTAAGCCTATAACTAGCATACAAATAACATATGTATAATAAGATAAGTTTTACACATACCTCTTGATGTTGTTGATGTTGCTACGAAGACTTTAGCCTTTAAGACCTTAGTGCCCCAAGTGTTGCACCTCAAATGGAATCACAACTCACCTAGGACAAAGGTGACTCTTGAGAGAGAATTTCCATGCACCAAAACACCTCCATGAACTCCAAGAACTAGAAGTGGCGGTTTTAGGTTATGGAGCTTATATTTATATGTAGGATTCCAAGAGTCATGGGTATAACCCAAATCCATACCCATGGGTTTTATGATCCATGGTTCATGTGGCCCAACTCTTTATGTATCCATACATAAACTTAGTCCAATATGGATAATAAGCCCAACACATATAAATATAACCAATTACCATAATTAGTGCTAATAGATTTAATGAGTCTCCTTTGATCACTAAATTAATTCCAAACTAATTCTTGATCAATACTAATTAAATCATATGATTTCATATTAATATATTAGAACTTATAATATATATATATATATATATATATATATATATATATATATATATATATATATATATATATATAACCTCTTCTCAAAAGTCCATCCTAACAAATTGTCCTGATGTTATGCAACCCAAATGGACCATGCTACTCTCAGGTCGAGTACATACTAATAATAGTTATGGGCTTAGAAATCTAATCCAACAGTCTCCCACTTGGATAAGTCTAAAACTATTATTGCAAATATGACTCTAAATCCCGACTAGCAATCGTAGCTCTTAAAAGCCGTTGTCGAACTCTGACCTAGTCAATGACGTGTCCATTAGATAAGGGATCATATATTCCTCCATTCTAGAGATCATATGGACTAAGACATGGATTATAATCATTCTCTCTGTCCATCTGTTATTTCCCGATTTCTGATTTATGATAACCAACTAATTGAATAAATCAAATTTGTCCAGGCTCGGCCGATCACTTAGGGTTGTCATCACTAAATCATCGAGGGGCCTACAGATATCGCTTTTATTCACATGGGGTAAAAGGAATAGATAAACTTCGACCCAAATGCTCGCTTGTACTCACTCATCAAATTACACACAACGATATGTTTTATAAAATCCAAGTTACTGGTGCGTTTACATATATCAATGTGCAACCGACTAACAAATACAACTCACACGTCTCCGTTTGAAGAATATAAGCTATTATCGCCTCATGATCACTCGTGATAAAATCCATGAAGTGATTCAAATGAAAGTGGGTTTAATCCAATACTCAAATCTTATTCCAGGAGCACTCATGAATACTACAGTTATGTCTAAAACATCTAGACATACTACAGACCCATTCATGACAGTCTAGCCTCAATACCTACTTCCAAAGTATGATCGACTGTGGACGGTTTGAATAACCTAGTTATTCGGGAAGTCAAAACATGCAAAGTGAAACACAAGAATAATACTAATCCTATATGGCCCCAAAACTTTTGAGCCATATTGATTACTCATTATTCATTGTATAATGTTTCAAATAATCAACTTAATACTTGAATTAAAACAATAGTTGTCCCATGCTACAAGCATGCACACTACATTTACCTATGGTCCTTTCTTGTGAAATATATCAATTGCCATTTACTGAAATATGTTAGATTATAAACTTATATGCAATGATCTTCTTGTAATGACTATGCACAAAAGTCACAAAGACTTGGCAACAGACATTACAAAGTATTCCAATGGAGAGCAATTCCATGGAAACGAAGTCTCACATTGAAAGTACATTCCTTTAAAGAATAACTTCCACTTATGGAAACATTTCTATATTCCTATTTTGGCTATCACTTCTGAACAAGAGTTGCATGTTTTCAGAATATGTCAATATGGTCCTTCCAAAATTTACACCATACTTCCAACTGTCCATGAGCAACCAATCTTTGGTAAACCTCATATTGTCCTCGACAATTGCTTAATCATTTTAGTCATATCCAGTTGTATTCCTTTTTCCCTCTTAATTCCCTAGGCATTTGGAAAAATTAGAACGGATGAATATTACAGCACATGTAATCAATCCTATATCCGAAGCATATGGGACGCGATTCATGATGTCTCACATAAAGACATGATACTAGACCAGTCTTTTGCTATACTATTTCTATTTGCCATGTTCTCATAATTCGAACTATGAAGAGGGATGTTGTAATCATAATCGAATATTGAGAACGCAATTAATATTTCCATATATAGAATTTCCTTATGTTGAACCATTCCAACATAACATTCATATATATAATTAACTAAATTTGATTAAAATATCAATTTAAGCTTTTAGAATTGGAATGAAGTATAATTTCCTCTCCCATAATTATAGCAAAACAACTTTTCAAACCGTGCAACTTTGCAAACTAAAACTTTTGTTTTCTATAATTAACATTGCTAACTTGCAACACTTAGCATCATAATCATGCTCCCACTAACATGGTAATTATATTCTTATCAACATAACACTTGTGCTCCCACTAGCTTTGACATGTATCCAAAAATCAGTTGGACTTCTAGAAATCAATACTTTATTGACTTTCATTACCAAAGTTTAGGTTTCTGATACGAGATGCTTCGATAAGACTTTATCTAAGGTTTCTAAAATCATACACCTTTTCTTTGACAACTCACATGTGTGTCTAAACAATTTTAGAACTATGAAAAAGGATGTCGTAATCATAGTCTCAAATGTTTAGACCTTTGCCATTGCTCACAATTCGAATTATGAAAAGGGATGTCGTAATCATAATTGAATTTTAGAATGTAAATATCACAATTTCTATATGCTTAAAATCTACTTAGTGAAAGCGTTTCCTCACCATCATTTTCATGAATCGAAGAAAAACCTTATGACACTTAGATTTTATGGTGTATGTGTTCCTATCCATGTGAATTTTTCAAAAACATAACCACAAGAGGAGGTTAGTGACAAATCCAAACTCATATGGACTGAACTTGTTCAATCTTAACTTCTTGCCACCTGGCAGCACAAGGGCTTACCATTGCTTCCTAGTAGTTATGCAAACAACTGAGAACTCATAGAACTCACATGCATAGTCAACTTTAAATGGAATGGGCACATAAACAAGAATATGTCAACACGATAGGCTCTAAACCTCAAGTCGTGTGCTAGTGATAAACAATACCCTTGATTAGTTCTTGAAACTTTTCAAGATCTTTAAGACTCCCACTGACCTCTTAACATATAAGATTCTCTTGTCAAGAACCATTCCTTGACAAAGCAAATATTCAAGAGTTAGTGCGGATTCTTATCAAAACAAACACTTCACACAATTGGACTTAGTTGGTCTTTGTTTTATCCAAAACATTAAAACTCACCAATTTCAAATGTACAAGAGTAGAAAACATTTTACTCTACATTTGATAAGTGTTTTAAACCTTCTGAACATTATGTTACTCAAGGCTCGATCTTGGAGTATTACTCTAAGACTCAATTTTGGAACGAAGTATGATTCATGTTTTGATTTAACCATTTCAACAATTCACGATTCCTCTTCTTAGTCAAACAATTGCACTAAGATGTCCTTAGAGGATCAATTGTGATATGGTTTTCCTAACCATTAAGATGAACATAAAACATGATACTGAAGTACTCTCCCATCTTTTCAGATTGGAGAAACTTTTATCTTTCTGCTTAATTTGATTCTTCTCATTCGTCCTGCCATACATTGAAAATTTTCCAATGTTTCAGAATTACACTTAAACTTGTAAGCATAATCATTTTTACTAAACTTTAATAAATCATGACGAATATCCTTATCGTTCTTTGTGGTGGACCTGATCAGCGTACAACCAAGTGTACCCGATCTCCTAGTCCTTCACTTGACTCACATATACATGTGAACAAGGAATTAGTCTTAATTTCCCAAAGATGAAAATTCTCATTCATCATACAATACAGGTTGCATGATTCCAAGTTTCTATCCAACTGAAACTTGGGTGATGAGAATCTTTCCTTATTTGGTAAATTATCACACTACCACAAACGAAAGAATCAAATCCATTTTCCAATATTGCTATCAATGAAATCATAAGAACAATTTTCACAAATCCCATTGTAAGGATACTTAAAATAAATAAAATCAAAAATTTTTACTTTTATTTTAAAATTACGGAAAAACTTATCCTTACAATGCAAATACATATGAAAACTATGTTGTTATCCATTCCAAAGCAATCTATCATGACTCTTAGCAGCAGCTTCAAAATTCTGATATTCGAATCATGCGATCGAAATCCATCTTCATGATCAGATTCACCATACTCTTCTTCTAAGATTCCTTTTCTTTTTCCGATTCTACAAAACATCAAAATGCGACCTAGTCACATCATGTAATAAGAATCTCCAAATAGGAACTTAATAGAGTTAGATAGTGGACT